GAGAGAGAGAGAGAGAGCCATTTACACGCTAAAGACAAAAACATCTCATAAGATTCAACCAAAATGATTACAATAGATAGGAGTAAATAACATTTAACTTAATTAAAAAAAATCAAAATTTTGATTTAATGATAAAAATATGGCCCTTCTTGTGTTTTTAACTGGTTTGAAAGGTTTCGAGATTTATTTTGACAAGTAAAAATAGTCTGGGTTGTTTGGTTTAGGGAATTAGGTATTAATTGGGGAATGAAATCCACATTCTCTCGTTTGGTTGGCCGGTAATCTTATTTCCGGTAATGTTTTATTACCTACAGTGGATTTTTTGAGTATATTACCCGGAATGTCATTACCCCCATTCCTTTAGGTATTATTGGATTACCGGCGTTTTGGACTAAAATACCCTGAATTTTTTTTCTTCAAAAATATCCTTCTTTTGTCATTGAATAATAAAAAATTCTACGAATGTTAAATTATAAATTTATCCTCAAACTATTTTAGATTTGCAAAAAAAAATCTATAACTAAAATTTTATATGAAGTTCAGGGGTTAAAATAAAATTTTACCCTTTCATTAAACCTTTTTATATTTTCAATTTTGTAAAAAAAATTATATAAATTTTATGAATTTAAATTTTTTAAAGAAAATATATAAATATTTTATAGTAATATTATAGTAGAATTCAACTTGTTAAAAAACAAATATATAATAAGGACAATTTGGTTAAATATACATTCTAATAATATTTTATTCCAATAAAATTTTATTCTTTTAACCAAATACAGTAATCTTACATTCCTGTTAAATCAATTAAACACAAAAAACAACATTCTATAATAATCTTCTATTCGCACTCGTAATTTTATATTCAGCGAATAAAACACACCCTAATAGTTAAAAGAAATGACTATAATTTTACTTTTGGTAAATGACGAGGCACCCTAGTCTAATAAACTAACTTACTCCACCACCTTTTTATCTGTCCAGAGGTTATAACTTGTTCCTAAAGGTGCGACCATTCTGTGGGTTCTTGAATATCCTTTTCGTCCCAGCTTGACCATCACATCAGCAATTCTGTTCCCCTCACGAAGGGTGTGTGTTGCTTGAATATCTCAATCTTTTCTTATCATATTAGCTACGTAATATCATACTGTTGATTCAAGATCTTTTTGGCCAACAACTTGTAGGTGCTTCCAGATTTTCTTGTTGTCAACCTCAATGATCAGTTTTTTTAATCCGAGTTCCCATGCAATTTTCATTCTTTCCAGAACTTCCCAAAGCTCCGCCTCTAAAACCGAGCATGTCCCGATAGTCTTGTGAAAACCCATTATCCATTCTCCTTTTTAATCTCTAATCACTCCTCCACAAGCTGCTACTCCGTTTGGTCCACTCACGGATCCATCCGAGTTAAGCTTTAGCCAGCCTGGTGGTGGGGGTTTCCATCTGATCTCTGATTGATCTTGGATGTATTCAATCGTCTTAGAGTCTCCTAAGGAAGCTATAGCTCGATTCGTTTCCATGACAAGCCGTCTGCTACGCTAATTTAATAGCTTTAAATTATTATTTAATTGAGTTCAAAAATAAATATTAAATTAACAAATAATTATTTAATTTAAAGAGTTAAAATATAAAATAAATTATATATATTAATATAATAACTTAACATGATTTTTTTTTTTGAAAAAAAAAAGGCAAAAGCCATGAACTTAAGCAGTAATTGATTTACAATAGGGGTACCCCTCACATGGCGGCTAAAAGATCCTGCATGAACTGCGGTGGCAAGGAAGGAGAGTAATCTTGTATGGCAAAGGCGAACGTAATTTGGCAATTCCATCAGCAAGTTTATTAGTTTTTCTATGAACTCAAGTGATCTTTGTCACTCAATATCATTGGCGAAGTTTATGAGTGGAACGCACCAGCACATGGTGACTCGTCGAGCAATAAAATTTATAACAAGATTAACCGCATCTGCACTATCCGATTGGACCAAGAACAATTCAAAATCATGGTACCAAGCAATTTTCAAACCGAGAAGAATAGTCCATAGCTCAGGCAACTGACCAATTACTTCAAAGTCTTGGACGGCTCCACCAAGTGGAGACAGAACCATCAACATTCAGGCAATATCAACCAGCCGACGGTCTTTGCCATTGAAACAAAGCATTCATTCTCTCAAACTGGGGAGCTATACTCTTCTAGCTGCCATGAAAATATGTTGCCCATGCAATACTATGATTGAGAACCGAGTGAGGAGGGCGCAACCACACGATCCCATAGTGAGCGAGCTTGTGGATAGTCCCGGAGCACATGGACTGCGGATTCAAAAGGGGCATTACAAATCATTCACGAAGGATCGTCGGTGAAAGTATACTTAGCTCATTCGAGATTTGTCATGAGATTTTGAGGAAAAATAGTCCAAAAAGAAAGTCGTATGCGCTGTGGAACTTGTAAGCACCTGATGGACTGTCAAAGTGGTGAGTGTGCATCCCAATTTAGGACCCCATCTCGGCGAAATCAGCCAATAATCCTTGTAATTATTTAGGTTTTTAAGATGACTCAAAAATTAATTAACAATCTACAATATTTATTACACTGATGTGAAAGTCGTCGGGCATGATGAGTTTTAATAAAAAAATATTTTTTTCATTAGAAATTTTTATCTGATGTGATACATTCTAATAAAAATAATATTTTTTAAAAACCCATCATGCCCATATGTTGAGTTTAAATAAAAAAATATTTTTTAAAACTCATTCCTAGGCCTGTAAATGAACTGAATGTTCAACGAATCGTTCATGAACCGTGTGGCGGGAAGTTGGTTATGTTCATTTATTTATTAAATGAACGAACATGAACAAGATTTTGCGTTTGTTTAATTAAATGAACGAACACGAACAAAGGGCTCGTTCGTTCATTTATGTTCGTGAACGTTCGATTATATGTTCGTTTATGTTCGTTCATTTATGTTCGAACAGAGGGTAAGTTGAATATGTTAAGAAAATTATTGAAGTTGTTTGGATTTCAAGAAGATTGTTTTGTTGAACAAATTAACTTTAAGACTTTATTATGTTCATATAGTTTATTTATGATTTATGTATGTTTTTGTCATATTCGAACAAATTAACTCTAAATTTGTAGGTTATATTAATGAATTTTAAGTTGTTATTCTTGTTGTTTACTTTTTCTTACATTCATTTGTTGTGTTCAAATAAGTTTGTTTTTTGTGTTTGTGTTGTTCGTTTATGTTCATTTATTGTGTTCGTTTATGTTCATTTATTATGCTCGTTTATGTTCATTCGTTTGTGCTCGTTTACGTTCGTTTATCGTTTAAATGAACGAACATGAACAATCTGTATTCCTTAATGAACGAACATGAACAAAAATTTTTTTGTTCGTTTATGTTCGTTTATTTATTAAATGAACGAACATGAACATACCTCTGTTCGTGTGCGTTCGGTTCGTTTACAAACCTATTCATCACCTTCACATGACGAGTTCACCCTAAATATCATAAATTTTAAAATAAACTTTGAGCTGACTAAATAATTTATCCGCATAGACTACTATCATCAATTTACCCCATTTCCAAATGCAGCAGTCTGATAACATGATTTTAACATAATTAGAATTGAGTTATGTAAAAATATTCAATAATAAAAAATAATTTTATCGTAACTAATTTTAATTATGAATAAAAATTAATTTAAAATTATTTCTTAAGAAATTTATTTGTTTCAAATTAAATTAAATAAAAAAATAATGATTTAAATAAAATTTATTGTGAATTTGTTATAAGAAAAATTCTAAATAAATAAACTCATAAAACAAAAAGTATTGTTTTATATGAATTTAAATTTGTGTGTGTGTTTGTTTATATTTGATTTAAATTTAAAATTTACAAATTGATAAACATTTAAAAACCAAAAAATCAAACAGAAAATTTTAATTTTTATGTCATTATATTTTAATTTTAAAAATCTATATAATACAATTTAATTTATCTTTTCATTAAAAAATTGAATCGAGTTAAACTGAATACACCACGCGTCATTAATCTAGAGAGCTGTGTTTAGGTTGAGTTTTCAGCCAACTCGAATATAAATCTAATCATCCGCCCACCCAAAAAAATAAAATAAAAATAAATCAATAGTGTAATGATAGAAACCCTAGTTTCTTAGGGTTAATACTTTTAAGTCCAAACATCAAAACCAGTTTATCGGCCTGTTAGCGAAATTACTAAATCATTCATGGAGTTTTGTAAACGAATCGAACGCACACGAATGTAGGTATGCTTATGTTCGTTCATTTAATAAATAAACGAACATGAACATAAACGAACATATTTTTTTTGTTTATGTTCGTTCATTAAGGAATATAATTCGTTCATGTTCGTTTATTTAAATGATAAACGAACGTAAACGAACATAAACAAACAATACAAACACAAAAAATAAACTTATTCGAGCACAACAAATGAATGTAAAAAAAAATAAACAACAAGAATAACAACTTCAAATTCATTAATATAACCTGTAACTTTAAAGTTAATTTGTTAGAATATGACAAAAACATATATATATCATAAATAAACTATATGAACATAATAAAATCTTAAAGTTAATTTGTTCAATAAAACAATCTTCTTGAAATCCAAACAACTTCAATAATCTTCGTAACATATTCAACTTGCCCTCTGTTCGAACATAAATGAACGAACATAAATGAACAAACATATAATCGAACGTTCACGAACGTAAATGAATGAACGAGCTCTTTGTTCGTGTTCATTCATTTAATTAAACGAACGCAAAATCTTATTTATCTTCGTTCATTTAATAAATAAACAAACATTAATAAATTTTTCGTCACACGATTCATAAACGGTTAATTGAGTTATTTACATGCCTACATCCATGCAATTTCTAATTTTCATAACGCGCTTAAAGGTCAAATTGGGCCATAGGCCAGAGAAATAGGATAAACCCTAGCTTTATTATCCCACTCTTTGCTCGCCTCCATTTCTGAAAACTCCAGTCTGCCCTTTTCTCCTCCATCAAAAAAGAGTAAACCCGACAATGCCGCCCAAGTTTGACCCTACACAAGTCGTGGATGTCTTCGTCCGCGTCACCGGCGGCGAAGTCGGGGCTGCCAGTTCTCTCGCCCCGAAGATCGGTCCACTCGGTCTCTCTCCCAAAAAGATCGGTGAAGATATCGCCAAAGAAACTGCCAAGGACTGGAAGGGTCTCCGTGTAACCGTCAAGCTCACCGTTCAGAACCGCCAGGCAAAAGTAACGGTCGTCCCATCAGCCGCCGCTCTGGTAATCAAGGCCTTGAAGGAGCCCGAGAGGGATAGGAAGAAGACCAAGAACATCAAGCATAACGGGAATATCAGCCTTGATGACGTCATCGAGATCGCTAAAGTAATGAGGCCGAGGTCGATGGCTAAGGATTTGCGAGGGACGGTGAAGGAGATTCTGGGCACGTGCGTCTCTGTTGGGTGCACTGTTGATGGCAAAGATCCAAAGGATTTGCAGCAGGAAATCGATGATGGAGATGTTGACGTTCCTTTCGAGTGAGAATGCTGGTTTCTTTTCTTATTACTAATACTATTCTCCCATTTCCCCTTTTTAGTTTTGTTTAATTTTAAGGTTTTGGACAATTTGCGGATATTTACCAGTTGGAGGTTGAATTGAGATCAATTTAGACTATTTTAACTATTATGGATCCTCAAATCGCTCTAGATGTAATGTTTATCTATAATTTTTCTTTAAAGTTCCTTTTCTTGTTTATCATATTGCATATTTAAAACGCAAGTACTGTTAGTGCTTTTTCTTAGTTTGTAGGAATTGAGTGGAAAATGCAAGTCCTGGTAGTGTCCTCCTCCGTAAGAAATTAATGAAATTCTTACATTGTAGTTGAGTTTGATTACTGAGCTTGGTTTAGGAAGTCAGTCGAATCGGTTTGCTGGTTATCAGTGTGCAATTTCTTTTATACATTATTGTTTGTTGGTACTGCAGCAAGAATTGGATGTTGTTCCGTTTGCATGGGGTTGGTTTTTATGAAGAATGCTAAATTTGTTAGGTTGTATGTTGGATAATTTTTACCATACAACAATTATGTCTATGATTAAATCTTTATTTGCAAGAAAGCCTAGTCTTTATAATCCGTGGAAACATTTATGGCCACTTTATTTTTATTTTCTTTGAATTTATAGACAAACTAGAGGTTTTTTTTTTATAATCTCTACAGTTCCAAATGTCTTAATTGTTTTCTAGCTTTAATTCCATTGTTTTACTGTTATCTTCTCCCTAAACCAAACTGTAATTGCATGCTGGACTATCGAAGGTTCCCATTGTTTTTGGTTCTTATTTATGGAAGCAATTAGGATGCAATGGAACTTTGTTTGTAGGATTGGGGTTTTGTTCTTTATAAGAATATTGAGCTTTTGTGCTATGAGTGGGAAAAACAAAAACCAAAACATATGATGGAAAAGAACCCTGTTTTAGGACTGCTTCCAATTTCTCATCCAAATCCATATTGAGTGTGCGTTGGGGGAGGAGGACCCGTACAGGGGAATATTTACCCATTTCACCTTTTCCATCCGGTAAGTTTGTTCTTCGTTTCCCCTTTGTTCAGTTATGATTTCTGGTTAAAAGTTATTCATATAGCGATACCACTGCCCTTGTTGGTTTTTCTCTGTATCGTTATGAGGTGTTTCTGTTTTAAGGCACGTTGAATGTACTAAAGTGTAACATTAGGTATATGATTTTGAAAAAGAAATATTCAAGTGACCAAGCAAAATAAAAATAATGGTTGGGTGCTAAACATGTAGTTTACTCTAAATTGTATTCATTACTTAATAAAATATTGATTTCTATTTGTTTTAAACGTAGGATGCATCTGTTTTACTTTGGTATGATTCTCTATTAAAATTTAGAAGCAAAAGCCGTAAAAAATGATCGAAAGTCTTTAAATTTTAATGAAAAATAATGTATTGATGACACATGTTCAACCAAATTCAATTTAACTCGACTCATAAACATTTCCACTATAATTTTCTTCCAAATTTGATAATAAATTTGAGATATTTTTCCAATAATTACGATTTCTTCCTTGTAATTTTATGTTGGGTAAAACTCAGAAATGGTCCTTGATTACAGGGTATTATTTTGTTAAACATTTCGAATATTAAAAGTTATAAAATGATTCTTAGACATGCTTTATTGAGTCTCCCAACTATTAAAAGTTACAAAATAATTATTTTATTATTTTATTATTCATATGTTATTAACTAGCCTTTTTTCTTTCAAATGATTTGGGATCGAATTTTATTATATTCTACGCATCAAATTAATGTCCAGTTTAGACGATCATCAACTTTTTAACAGAAAAGGACCAATTTAGAACACACGAATTATCGAGTTACTATTTTGAAACTTTTAATAGTTGAAGGACTCAACAAAGAATAACATTATAGTCAGGGTATTTTTTGTAACTTTTAATTGCCAACTCGATCTTGCGATACTTTTTTGAAAACCAGTTCCCGATATCGAATAGATAAAAAATATAAGATACCATTCGTATAGTTAACTCATAATTAAATATGTAACTTTTTTTAAAAAATAATTCTCATATTTTGGGAAAAATTGTTTCTTTTAAGGCACGAATCAAGGTACATCAATGTTTAAAAGAATGATTGTTATTCCAAGAGGTCCTAGGTTCGAGCACCATAGACTACATGATATTTGAGCATTCTTGTCAAATGGTTAAAAGTCTTTAGAAAAAATACTACCACTTGCAAACACCCTAGATTAATCTAAAAAAAATGTTTCTTTTAAGGGTAAAGAATTTGTATGACCACTTAAGTAGTTCATCCTTTCATTTTGACCATCGATTTTGAAATGTTGTCAATCAAATCATTTAAATATTTTAGTGTGTTAATCAAGCCACTTGTCGTTAACATTAAACGGAAAATGTGATGTGACAATTAAATTTTTATATAATCACACATTTGGTTTATATTACTTACATATTCTATCAATTTGGTCTAAATTACAATAGAATGTATTTTTAAAAGTTAAGATAAGAATAAAATATATTTTTAAGTTAAAATAAGATCAAAATATATTTATTTTAATTTATTAAAGTAAAATCAAATTGATAGAATATATGAACTAAATGTGTAATTATACCAACACTTTTAACTACCACCTCACCTTTTCTGTTTAATGTCAATGACATGTGACTTGATTGATACATTTAAATAGTTAAGTGACATGATTGATAAAATTTTAAAATTGACGGTCAAAATAAAAACGAATAACATTTAAATGATCTAGTTTACCCTTCTTTTAACAGTGGTTGCTTACAAAGGAATATATGTTCAAAATCCATTTTAGCTATAGACAACATATATAGATCCGCCTAAATATGAGACCTCTAAAAAACACAACATTCTTTTTTGTATTAAAATAGCTTGAGTGTTTAGGAAAACAACGGTCATGGCTTGGGGTTTAATGCATTTATAGCGAGCAACAAGTATATATGGACATGATAAAGTCAATGAAAACGAGGGCTGAGACCTTCAGATGTTTATGTAGGGGTACTAGTATGAGATACATGATAGATAATCATATCGTGTTACATTATGATGGTGGTTGATACTCATTCTTTTATAGCTAAGTTGCTTATGCATTTCTTAATTAGGTTGCAATTCTTAGACACTTGGATTTCCATGTCCCAATAGAAGTTTATGTAGGGGTACTAGTATGAGATGCATTTCTTATACATTAAAAATGGACATTACAATAGTAATCCCATTGAAAAAAAACCCCAAGACAAATTTTGAATACACAACAAAACTAAAGAAAGCCAACCAAGACAAACCACACAGCAAGACAAAGTCAAAATGTAAACAATTAAAAACTTCAAATTAAGAGAATAATAAAGAACATGTGATGATATATATAAAAATCATAATGTTTGGATCCTAAAGGACTTTATTTAGGGATTTCAGATTTAAGAGGAATGATTGGGATCAATATCACATAAAATCATAAAATACCTTAGACTTTGCCTTGATAGATGCAAACAAATAATGCAATGGAACCCTATTTTTCCCATGGGAAAAAGGCATTGGACCAAAGGGCATTGTTGTTGATGTTAATGTTATCCCCAAATGGGAACATCATTTCATCACCCCCAAATCCCAGATGACTTTTCGGATTATTATTGTTCATGAGCTCCATGATCCAATGTTGCCTCTGCATCGAATCCATGTTGTTGTCCGCCTCCGCTTGCACATTCTCCGGCGTTACTTCAGGCATTACCGTTGTCATCACCGATGGTGTTGTAGCCACGGAAGACGAAGACCCTTGGGGATTATGAGACGCCTTACTAAGTAAATCGACCCTCTTGTCGATTTCCTTGAGGTTCTGATCGATCAACCACCCGACATCGTTCAAATCCATCAGGTTTAACCCGTGGAGGCTGGCTTTTCCAATCAGGTTCTGGAACATGACATGGGTCATCTCCTTCTCCCGGTTGTCCTTGCACTGTTTCTTGAGCTGCTCACTGGCTTTGGTGATCCTTTGGGTAAGGAAAGTCTCTTGGTTCACCATCTTCTTGCTTTGTTCCATCTCGGGGATCTTCCTGAACTTGGAGAGCACTCGTTGAACTCCCATGGGGGATGGCCAAATCTCGGGTTGAGACTCATAAGGGCTGTACATAATAGCACAGGCGTCGATCCCACACAGGGTACTGAGTTCACTCACTTTCTTCATTAAACCCTTCTTTCTTTTCTTGAAGGTAGCTTTCCTTGCTGAGTCATTGGTAATATAAGCAAGCTTCACTTTCTTTCTCGTCATGGATTTGAAACCAAAGGTATTGGGACTCTTAGCTTTTTCTTTTCTTGTGTATTTCTTACCCCAAACAGCTAATTTATGCTGTTTATAGACTTGAAGGGATTTGTTGTTATCATTAAAAGATTGTGGAGCATTCAAATCCATTTTTTCTTGTGAAGAAATGCATGAACATGAAAATCTTGTCAAATTAATATCAGTAGCCCTAATTTTGGTATGTAAAAGATATCATGGGATATCAAAGCTGTATTGTTATATAGAGAATTAAACTGGATGAGTTCGTTAGATTTGGGTTTTTCCTAACAATTAAAGTTTGGAATAGATATATAATTTATTTTAGTCATAAAATTATACCATCACGTGTTTATATAGATCATATATTATCAAATGATAAACATATTGATATTAATTAAATCTATCTATTTCGTAATAACAGATATAATAATGTATATAATAATAGATGTATATTTTGTTAAGTATTAAAAACATAATTACATGTATTATATTAATTAAATCTACATATTTGATAATAACAGATATAAATATAAATATATATATATATATATATATATATATATATATATATATATATATAAGAATTGATGTGTGAGTAATAAAAATATAACTATACTTATTATATTAATTAAATTTACTTGTTTGATAATGGCAAATATAACTATATATATATAAGAATATATGTATAATTTATTGAGTAATACAGATATAATTTCACGTATTTACATAAAACATATAATATCGAATAAAAGTATTACATTTATATTCATTCATGTCGGTATTATTTAATATTATATTTTGGTTTTGACAAATATATTTAGTCATAAAAAAAGTAAATGCATGCTTTGTTTTTTCATAATATGATACCATCATGTGTCTATATGAATAATATAATATTAAATTATCAATGTTATATATTTTATATTCATGTTGATATTTATAATTTTGACAATGGCAAATATATGATTCATCTAATCATAAAATTATAACATTACGTATTTATATGAATCATATAATATCAATTAATAAATATTATTTTTGTATATGTTCATGTATATTGGTAAAATAATACAACATTTTTTATAATAACAACTATAACAATGTACATATAAGAATAAATGCATGATTTATTTAGTCATAAAATGATACCATAATGTATTTGTACGAATAATATAATATTGAATAATAAGTTTTATATCCATATATGTTCATTCATGTTGGTATAATAATTAATATTACATTTCTGGTAAGGACAGGTATAACAATATATATACAAGAATGGTAATGACATATATAGCAATGTATATACAAGAATGGTAATGACAAATACAACAATGTATTATGTATATACAAGAATACATTCAAGATTTGTTTAGTTTTTTTATTAATATGAGATAAATACAAGACAGTAATATATGTTTAAATATAGCTCTCAACTATTTTACATTATATTAGCAAGAAAAGGTATACTGGAAATGCATCATATAGTATTTCAAAAACTGTGTCAATCATATAAGAGGACTAACTATTTAAGAAGTTAGAAATAGCTTGCTTTACTGCTATATAGCTGTCACAACCACTTAACCGTATGAATAACACATGTTAAGAATAACCACGTGTGACTAACTACTTAACATTCATCCTGCTACTTTACATAACTTCTCTAACTCAAATACACCAAATTTGTTACTAATAACCCTTCAAATCTATTCAGCGCAAGAGGTTTTGTTAAGACATCTGCAATCTGACTGTCAGTCGGAACATAATTGATTTGAACTTCACGTGAGTCAATTTTTTCCCGCACGAAGTGTAAATCTAATTTAATATATTTACTCTTTGCGTGTAAGATAGGATTTGCCGCCATGGCAATTGCATTGGTGTTGTCGTACCAAACTTTCTGCGTTTCAAGCAAAGGTACTGCCATCTCATGTAGTACGACCTTTATCCACATTACTTCAGATGTAACATCAGCAAGGCTCCTATATTCAGCTTCCGCAATAAATCAAGACATTGCACGCTGTTTCTTGGAGCTCCAAGAAAGAAGGTGATTTCCGTTATAAACATAATAACCCGATATTGATCTTCTGGCATCAACATCTCCACCCCAATAGGAATCAGAAAAGACACTAAGGGTCACCATTCGTTGCACTTAAGCAGAGAACCAAAGACCAAATTCTAATGTTCCTCGTAAATAACGTAGAATTCGCTTAACAACCATCTAATGTACTTCAGTGGACTCTTGTAAGAACTTGACAGCTTTGTTAATAGAAATGAAATATATGGGCGAGTGTGACAAATGTATTGAAGTGCCCGATCATACTTCGATACTGTCGATGACCGATTGACAATTCTTCATCATTCTTGCTAAGCTTAGTCGTGGTAGTCATAGGTGTAGTAGTAGCATTCACATCAACCATTTGATTCTTTTACAACAACTCTGTGATAAATTTCTTTTGACTTAGAAACAAATCACATTCAAACCTATGAACTTCTATGCCAAGAAAAAGCTTCAGCTGCCCAAAATCCTTCAAGGAGAATTTCTCATGAAGCTTGTGTTGATCAACCTCCTCTTGTGAACTCCCGGTAATAAGAATATCGTTTACATAGACCACTACATAAGTGACATCATTACCATTTTTATGAATAAACAAAGAAGAGTCAACCTTTGAAGATTTGAATCCTAAACCATGCAAAAATTCTTGTAGCTTAATAAACAAATTCCTTGGTGCCTGTCGCAACCCTTACAATTCCTTTTTCAACTTACAGACTAACATTGTTCCATCAGTTGTAGATTCTTCAAAACCAGGTATTTGTTGCATATAAACAACCTCACTTAAATCTTCTTTTAAGAAGTTCACGTCCACCTGCCTTATCTGCCAATTGCATGTAACAGTTAGTGAAATCAAAATATTCATTGTGAAGAAGCAAATCACTGGAATAAAGGTGTTCATAAAATTATGTCCAAGATGAGCTTTCAGCCTTTTCACAAAGCCACCAACATTCTTCTTAACTTTAAAGATACATTTACAATCGATAGCTTTCCTCCCAGGTGGTAGTTCAACAACGTCCCACGTGTTATTACTTAAAAGAGCATTATATTCAGCCATAACAGCTGCCCTCCAGTCAGAATGTTCAAGAGTAGTCTGAATGTCACAGGGCACTTCTTTACATTGCATGTTATAAATTTTTGGCTTAAAAATACCATGTTTACTTCGAGTGGTCATAGCATGAGTGTTTATCGTACCTATATCCTGATTATTGACTTCATTCTGACCTTGACCACTAGATGCACCTATCACAATTCAAGATAGAAAATGATAGAATTGGGGATTTCAGAAAAATGAAGAAAGTATGAAGAAGAAGAATTGCATTGAAATCTCAGCATATTTTCTCAATTACAATTCTGTTGCATATATTTACTAATCAACAGCCAATTATTTATTTACAGCTGTCACTATATTTGTCTTGTAGTCTAACTGCCTGCTTCTTGATAGATTCCTTCAACAGATTTCTTCTTGGGCTTCACGGTGGGCTGTCATCCTCCTTTATATTCCACAGCTGTAGTTACTTGGGTATCTCCTGTGGCCCATTCCCATTTCACGTTCCAATCCAGTTTGTCATCTCCCTTGGTCTGCTCCAAAACTGCATTCTCATCAGGTAATTTAATCGATTCCTCTTTCTCCCAAATCCCTAGCTTTCGAATTCTCTGAACCCTAATTCCATATTTCCGCTAAATCTCCTCTCCATTTCACCTGTCTCCATGACAATACCCCCATCTTCAGATGATCCTTAACCCCAAGGATCAAACCGTGGAAACTGTATTTGCAAAACAGTATAATCTTCCCATGTAGCATCATCCTTTTCCCAAGTTTGTCCAGTGAATCAAAAATTGGGTAACATCCTGATTATTGCACTTCACAATTCGTTTGGCCAAAGCAGCAACAGGATATACCTTTAACTGGCCGTCAACATCAATCTCCGGAGGATCCAACGAGGTAATTTGCTGGTCACCAATATTTTTCTTTAAGAGACTAACATGGAAAACATGATGGATTTTCGAATGATCAGGTAATTTTAATTTGTATGCCACTAACCCCACTCGTTCAATCACTATGTAGGGACCAAAAAAATGAGCAGCCAATTTAAGATTTTTACGAAGTGCTAACGACGTCTACTGATACGGTTGGAGTTTAAGGTAAACACTATCCCCTACCTAAAATTCCTTATCTGTACGCTTCCTGTCTGCATATGCTTTCATTCTTGATTGAGCCTTCTGTAGTTGTTCCTGCAAAATTTTATTCATGACATCTTGTTGCTCTAATAACTCATGTACCGTCTTCACTATTGACTGACCACCCCAAGATAAAACTTGAGGTTTATAACCATACATTGCTTCAAATGGAGTTACTCCTAAGGCAGTGTGATAGTTGGTGTTATACCACCATTCTGCCTGTGGTAACCAATCAACCCATATAGTAGGTTTAATAAAACAAACACTCCTCAAGTACTGCTCAACACACTGATTTACTCTTTCAGTTTGGCAATCCGTTTCTGGATGATAGACAGTGCTGAAGTGAGTTTCTGTGCCAACCTGTTTCATAAATTCCTTCCAAAAAAAACTTGTAAATAACTTGTCTCTATCTGACACAAAAGACTTAGGATGGCCATGTAATTTATAAATCTGAGCTAAATAAAGCTTTGCCAAATCAGCTGCTGTGTAAGGATGTTTTAAAGGAATGAAATGACCATATTTAGTAAACCTGTCAACAATTACCCAAATGCAAGTGAATTTCTTGGAATGTGGCAAACCTTCAATAAAATCCATAGAAATCATATCACAAGCCTGGTGTGGAATTGGTAGTGGTTTTAGGAGACCAGCTTTGTGAGAATGATCAACTTTAGTCATCTGGAAGACCTCACACTGAGCAATAAAATTTGTGATCTGTTTTTTTAATCTTGGCCAATAAAAATATAGTTGAACTCTATAGACAGTAGCTTGAATTCCTGAATGTCCTCCCAAAGGAGATGCATGTAAAAGGGTCAAGATTTGTTGCCTCAATCCTCCAGTTTCACCCACATAAAC